GGCTCCTAGGTAATCCTGTATGGTTAGTTTGTTGGCGCTCACATGTTTTTCTTTTTTTTTTTACTCAAATCGTTAAACCACCAGTACTTGGCCCAGCTATCGCAGCCGAGCCTGGAAGTGCCCTGCGTGCCGTTTCCTGCCGAAACGCCAATTCGATTTTGGTTTTTGGAAAGGCTGGCGGCGCCAGCCTTCCAGGTCCGGTTGCCCGAAGCGCGAACTTCGCGTAGCGTTAACACTAAGGCCCGCGGCCGATATATGGGCCAAGTACTGGTGGTTTAAGGGTTGTAGCTGTAGAGGAGGGGCCAATTGGTCGCAAAGAAAGGATAAGTTTCTGAAGTTTGGGTTTTTCCAGCCACCGCTTCAGTCAGGGCCTAAGCTAAATTGAGTAATGCTCGGAGTACTCCGGGCGGAATTGTGAGGTCCCTGGCTTCAATGTTGGGTTTTTGAAATTTAAATATTCTTTTTTTCCTTTTTTGAAGAAGGAAAAAATAATAATCTTACTTTCTTAGGACTTCTCCTTTTTTAAAGGATAATAATTTTTTTAAGCCCAACCAATTCAATTACTTTTCAAATCTGGTCGGGACAGCCTTTCAGGCCTTCTTTTATTGTCGTTGTAGTATAGTATTACAGGGAACCCCGTAGCAGCCACATCTGTGTTCAAGCCTCCAACGAGGGAACATGTGGGAGCTGAAGCCATCAGCAGGTGCAATACCTGCTACAGCAGGTGGGCGATACTGGGCAGGGGTCAGCCGGGACCATCAGGTCCCGATGAAGGCCAGTCACTGTGCCTCCCCTCCGATGCCCTCCTCGTACGGACATTAGCAGTATCTGCTTAGTGCCTATCGGGGGAACGCAACGGTGTCTCTAGATGGCAGGCACCAAGTATGGCCAGGTAGGTACATGAGGCCAATGGGAATTGAACCGAAGACCTCCTGAATGAGATATCTGTGTCTTATCAACTGAGCTAGGTCTCTGGCTCTTTCTTAGCAATATGGGCCATTTCCTATCCTTTATTCTTTTCTGAACCTGGTCCTACTTTGGGGGCATATTCAGGGTCTACTCACACTACCATCTTCCCCTGAACATGATGAGCCTTGATTCTGAATGTATACAAGCCATCTTCCTGGTTAAATGAAGTCTTAATGAGGCTGTGAAGATGGTAGGGTTTTCCTGGATGAACCTGACAGCAGTTCCCTCTAGAGCTCAGTCGAAGAAATCCTACCATCTTCACCCGAACCGAATGCCAGGTCACTAAAGCTGTTCGCAGCCCGTCAGGGGTGCATTTTATGCCCCTGAGAACATTTTTTGTCGTCGTTTCGTTATACGGTCGTTGGAAGGCTGGAAAAACAAGGCATGGCAGTTAAGGGGGTGGTGGCATCTTATTTGAACCTGCCGGACCGGTAGCTGCCCGTGGGACCGCACAGGTTTTGGTCCAGGACCGCATAGGACCGGTAGCTGTGCGTAGGATGCCGAGGAGGCCGCAGTCCTTTTTCGAAATTGAAACGGTGCGGGTCCAGTTTTCTCGAATAGCAGAGTTCCTCGAATAGAAAGCGTACACGTTGTATTCGAATACAACCTGTACCCTTTCTATTCGGATTTCGAAAAGAAAAAACTCTTGTATTTCGATAAAATTACTTCTTCTTTTTGTTGGAGGTCAGCGCCTGCCCTTGTGCTCGCCGCCACTGACATGCTGCATGTTGCAG